GTCCAGAGACTCCAAATAAACAGAATTGGTACATTAGAACCCCTGAAAAAAAAATTTTTGTTATTTTGTAGCACAGTGTTATTATTATTATTGTTTTGAAAAAAAAAATGGATGAGCACAAAAACCGTGTCAAAAATAAACTGACAATTGAAAAGGACCGTTATTAGCAACATACATATATAACCGACATGTATACTAAAATAATACGAAATAACGCATATATTTTGTTTAGACCTCGTATCCCCTTGGGAAAAATCCTCACAATATTGATAGAGTACACTATAGGCCAGAGATTTCATCTTTTGGGTTTATGAAATAAAAGGTTTTCGGAGAAGCTAATTACGATTCTGCAAGAAAAAAGTAAATGTTCGATAGTGTGGATCGGAAATGGCGGCAAATGTTTATATACACACTGTGGTACAGTATCACTTTCTAAGTCAATTTATGCATGTCCGTCCGTCTGCCTGTCCATTTTAAATCGTAAACAAAGCTTAAGTCGCATTTATGATCGTAATAAAATGAAATTTATCACACCTCGCTTGTTTAGCCCAAGGGCGAAAACTACTGAAATCGGAGAAAATCGGTTCACATTTCGATATCGATTAGCTTTAATCCCAAGGTTTGTTCGAATAGCAGTGCAACATTGTGCCCAACGCACTGAAATGGGTTTAGAAACCGACACATATTTTTTATATATCTCCCGGTTCCCGATTGCGACAAAATTTTGCATAACGTCTAAATTATTCCTAGAATTATGTTATAGGGGTTGTTTTTTTTTTTTTTTTTTTTTGAAGTTTGTGTGGTTGCAATTATTTTTTTTTATCCAAATTGTACATCAAATAATCAACGTTTGTTCATGACATTTTTAAAGGCAATGTGCTGCAGTTTATCGCATAGCGGGTATAAGGCTTGCTTGAAATGGGTCCAGCTTTTCATAATTTGGTTCGATTCAAATAAATGGTGCATAACTGACTCTAAGTCTGTTCGAAAGATATCACGCATTGCATAGTTTGCATAGAATGACATTTGTTGTTTGTTATATAAATATAGATCACATATTTAATTTCGACCTTCTGTTACAATAATAATCTGAGTAGCATCTCTCGTATATACTCAAAGTATCATATAATCGGTCCTGCTTTTCTTACTGATTTAAAAATTGTATTAATCTTTTTGAACACGTTTGTGCAGATATGACCACTCATTACAAATGTTAAATCAGATTTTGAAAATCAAATAAAATGAACTCAAAGTGGCGGATCAGACGCATGAAAAAATTAAATATTTAATTTTATAGCAGTATTTAATATCAAAATAGCATGATGTTGTTGGTTTATGCATTATGGGTATAAAATTATGACATGCTTTAACTACATTTGAAATATTACCTATTAGGTTGGAAAACATGCTGTATATGTTCAAAATAACGAATAATGTGGGGTCCGTTTATATGGGGCCAACCCAGAAACTTAAGTCAATATTGAAAGTTTTTGATACGAATCTGTTTGAAAATTATACAAAAATAGGTAGGGTACCCCAAATATTGAGGGTACCCCAAAGAATTGTCCAGAATGGATAAGTTTTTAACATACATATAAATATATATGGGAGCTATATCTAAATCTGAACCGATTTTCACGAAACTTAACACGCCATTTACATAAAATCGGACGAAAATATATATGGGAGCTATATCTAAATCTGAACCGAAACTTAGCACACATATATCTAGGCTCAATTCACTACGCTATGCCAAATTTCGTGGAAGTCGATAGTGAAATCGTTATATAGAGACTTTCGTGCACCATTTACATAAAATCATAAGAAAATACATATGGGAGCCGTATATAAAGCTGAACCGATTTTCATGAAACTTAGCACACATAATTTAAGACTCAATTCAGTAAATTATGCACAATTTCGCGCAAGTCGAAGATGTTTAGGGCCTTTGGTGCACAATTTACCTTAAATCGGACGAAAATATATATGGGAGCTATATCTAACTATGTTAGTAAATAAATAAATGTTAATTTTATGAACGGTCGCATATGATCGCAAAATTCTGGACAGAGAACATATCATAGCGTAGATTGGTGCTATAACCATAAAAATCACATATGGCACTGCTTGACGCTAGGTTCCGAAACTCTAATTATTTGAAAAAATTGGTTTTTTTATACGATGATTGGTGATTATTTCAAAATTACTAGTAATTTTTTCTTTCATTATAATCACCAGTTCCACCTGTTTAATTGATTTATGAAATATGATATTTTGTAAACCGTGACCCACAATGATGTAAAATTTTACTGGTATAAATATCAAAGTCCTCCGAGTTGAAATATATACATAATTGTTTTTCCTCACTACATGAAATGGACTTTTTATCAAAAAAATTGGAATCCTGGGAATTGGCGGAGTCTACATATGTCATCATACAGTCGATTATTATGACACTATAACGGTCGGCAATAATGATTACGAGCTCATCGGAATAATTTGAAAAAATATAGACTGATGGTTCTTGAATCTTTTTTAAAGTACCTTATCTTGTACACCATTTACATGAATCCGGACAGTAATATGTGACAACTATATACTAAACTGAACCGAATGAATGAGCTTTGCCAAATTTATTTTTATTCCAATAAATGCAACTTATTGTTTCATGAAAAGTGGGCCTACTTTAATCACTTTTATTTCAAATTCTAAGTATGTTCTTGTTAGAGAACCATGAGTTTTTTTTTGCCATTTTTATTTTCTGTGTAAACAAAATTGATGACAACATTTTATTATCGCAAAATATATTCCCCGGTGGTTTACATACTTTGTTTTCATATGAAAGAAAACAGTGTAACATCTGCACGTCTAAACGATGATACAATACTCCAAAGAATCGGTATAAATACACACACACACATGAAAAGTCAACAGCCTGATTAGTGACAAAGTGTAAAGTGTATAATATAGCCTAAAATACAGTTTTTTATGTTTTTGACGTATGTCTACGAAAATAGAATTAATATTGAAAACGGCGTAGTAGACAATTCACTAAGTAAATTATAAAAAAAATACCACACAACACAACTTCGACGAAAATCTAACTTTCTTTGGTTCTATATTCTGAGCATGGACACTATTTCCCGATATTTGCACCCTCTTGATCAACAATACACAATCCGCCTACATCTATAGACATTCTGTACAATTCACGAAAACAAGTGAACAACCCCTAAAGTATGTCAGGCAGAGATTTACTATTTTATGACGATAACTAAAGTGACTATAAGAATGATGAAAAAAAAATGCATTGCCCCATCAAAATTGTAAGGTTTGCATTGATGTTGAAAATTTCTCCAGAATCGTATGGGGGAAAACAAATATATTTATCGTCGATAAATTTATGAATTTCAAGAGAAATGTCGAGGGGGAGAAATTTATTTACACTCCCGAAAAATTGTGCATAAGTAATTGTGCAGCCAAGTGGCATTATGTGAAGTGTGTAAGTTTATTGGAATTTTAATTCTTGAAGTACTAAGGTAATTGGAAATTATTTATTTGCTATACGATACTTCTGACGAATTTTAATATGAAAAATATATTTGGAAATTTTTGGAGATGTGGAAAAATTATTTCATTAAAAAATATATTAAAATTTTATTAGAAATCGGTCGATTTCGAAGATCTTCAAAAGAAAATATAATCATTTTGCATCGAATTAACCATTGAACTTCGATACTGATATTTATAACATTAATTAGAACAAGTGAAAAAGCGTTAAGTTCGGCCGGACCGAACTTTGGATACAATCCATACTGACAGGTACTTGAAACGAAAATATAGGGAAAATACCAAAAAGCGCACTCAGACAGACAGGGCTAGATCGTCTTAGAATTTTACCCTAATCAAGAATATATATACTTTATAGGGTCTGAAAGGAATATCGAAATATTACAAACGGAATGACAAAATTAATATACCATCCATACTATGGTAGAGGGTATAAAAAGGTGGTTATATGAGGACTACCCCAAAAAGGGGCGAATATTAATAATTTTTGGTGGGGAGATTTGTTACCATATACGAATACAAAATACCAAATTGCAGCGAATTCGGTTGAAAAACGCGCAAGAACCCAAAAATATCGAAAATTGGCGGTACCCTTATATGGGGGCTATCCGAAAAAATTGACCTATATTTATAATTATTTTTTTGTGGAGAGATTTGGTACCTATTAAGAACTCAAAATACTAAATTACAGACAATTCGGTGGAAAATTACAATCAAAACCCCCAAAATGCTGACAAGTAGAATGTACCAAATTTCAACGTATTCAGAACCCCAAAATACCGAAAATTGGGGGGGGGGGGGGGTACTGTTATATGGGAGCTATGCCTAAACGTGGACCGATATATTCGAACTTTACCTGCCTGCAGACAAAAGACAAGCCTATGCAATTCCTAGCACCCTATCTCAATTCCTTCAGAAGATAGCGTGATTACAACAGACGGACGGACAGACGGTCGGACATGGCTAGATCGTCTTAGAATTTTACACTGATCAAGAATATATATACTTTATAGGGTCGGAAATGAATATTTAGATGAGTTACAAACGGAATGACAAAATTAATGTACCCTCCATACTATGGTGTAGGGTATAAAAAGTGTATAATATTTCTGAAGAACCATATTGCGTATAACCACTGTCAATACGTATACGCCTTTTTAATTTCAAGGAAAATATTTAATATGTTGGATATTAGAATTATATATTTGTATAAACAGTAAATAAATTGGTTCACATTTACATACACTTTCCATATATTATTCATACGATTTAATTTGTTGAAATATTACCATTATTTTTTGTGTATTGGCTGACTTTTGATATGAATTTCGGATAGCCATTTGATATGATACCATGACATATGTCCGTCTATTCCTATATTCCTATTTTTTTTAAATTCTAAAATATAATATCTTATGTTTATTTTCCAGCGTGTTGGCTTCATATCCCTAGCCTTGGGTATGTTTATATCCTGTCTCTTTGGTTTTATATTTGGCTTAATATTGGGTACCACAGAAATGCCATGGGGAAGTGGAGATTGGCCCACAGAGGAAATGAGGGGAAGGTAAGTTAATTTAAAAATTAATGAAAAAAATTTTTACCAAAAATTTTATATTATTTCTTTAATATTTGTATTAAAAAACACAAAACAAGATTTATAGACCTCACATGACCTTGTCAAAAATTCTACTAAACATTTTTTTAGATTTCTTAATTGCATTTAATTTAAATGATGATTACACACTTTTTCACATGATTTATGACAAACGGAAATGAAAGCCGTGCATAGGGACGTATATCATTTTCTGATAAATATAATTTCCCTCTCTTTGCAAAGTAGCTCAAGTGTGGCGTGATGACTTCTTGTTGGTTTTTTGTCATTTCCCACATTTTTCCCCTGTCCCGTATTGAAAATTTAATTAAATGTGAGTTATAACAGCATCATTTTCAACAACATACAAATACAATTAACGATTTTCCACACACAAACATCGAGTGTATTTGTGTTTACATGTATAAAAAACAAAAGCTGACATTAATTGCGTTAATGTCATTAAGAGGCCATTGTTGCTTGTTGTGACTGACTCCACTCGACACTTCCTTTTTGACATTAAATTATATTTGTTTATTTATTGTTGTTGTTTTTATTTTTTTAATATGATATACACCACTTGATGAATCCACTTCAGACATTCTCGAAACACAAAAAAAAAAAAACACCGGCATTCTGACAATGACAATAAATGTTCCAACAGACAATATATGGTGGAACAATGACATTGGTACTTCAACGAAAACAAATAAAAAAGTCGTTAATATTATTACCACAGCTTCGGTGGTTTATGTTTTGGAGACAATTGTAAGGAAATGCTGTGTTGAAAATTAAAATTAATTATTGTGATTTTTTGTAATGATTTGCAAAGTATTTTTAGGAAAAAGTAATAGAAAATAAGTTCAATTGAAATCTAGTAACGTTTCGTTTTAATAATAATTTTTGAAAGAAAATAATAATAACTTTGTAATAATATTTTTTGAAGGCCAACACTTCTACTAACATTATTGAAGATCAACACCACTATAAGGTGTATATTTTAAAGAATTTTTTTAAAGGCCTATCTTACCATAAGTCGTAGATTTTTAAGCAATATTTTTTGAAAGCCTACCTTACCATAAGGCGTAGATTTTTAAAGAATAATTTTTCAATGACCTATACAGGCGTAGATTTTTAATGAATAATTTTTCAATGACCTATACAGGCGTAGATTTTTAAAGAATATTTTTTTCAAGTCCTACCCCAACATAAGACGTTGATTTTTAATGAATATTTTTTGAAGTCCTACCCCAACATAAGACGTTGATTTTTAATGAATATTTTTTGAAGTCCTACCCCAAAATAAGACGTTGATTTTTAAAGAGTATTTTTTTGAGACAGGATGAATTAAGACGTTGATTTTTAAAGAATATTTCTTTGAAGTCCTACCCCAACCTAAGACTTAGATTTTTAAAGAATATCTCTTTTGAATGCCAACAGAACCATAAATCGCGGTTTTTGATGACTAAGTTTTTCAAGATCAACACACCATAACATATGGGTTTTTAAAAACTATCTTTCGAATGGCCAAAACTATCAAATGGCTCGGATTTATAAACAGTATTTTTAAATTACCAACACCACTAGAGCGTTGATTAAAATAAATTTTTTTTGAAGGCCAACACCACCATTAGTCGTCTTTTTTTATACCCTTCACCACACTGTGGTACAGGGTATTATGTCTTTGTGCATATGTTTGTAACAGGCAAAAATAATCGAGATAGACCCATGGTTCCTTTTGAGAATATGCATAGAATCACTTTCTGAGTCGATTTATGCATGTCCGTCTGTCCGTCCGTCCGTCCGTCTGTCCGTCCGTCCATGTATTTTTGTTAACAAAGTACAGGTCGCATTTATGATCCGATTTGGATGAAATTTGGCACAGGTCACTTAATTGGCCCAAGGACGAAACCTATTGAAATTGGAGAAAATCGGTCCACGTTTAGGGATAGCTCCCATATAAGGGTACCCCAAAATTTTCGGTATTTCGAGGTTCTTGAGCGCGTTTTTTAACTGAATTCGCTGAAATTTGGTACTTTGAGTTCTTATTGGGTAGCAAATCTCTCTACCAAAAATTATAAACAAAGGTCAATTTTTTTGGATAGCCCCCATATAAGGGTACCCCCAAATTTTCGGTATTTTGAGGTTCTTGAGCGCGTTTTTTAACTGAATACGCTGAAATTTGGTACATTGAGTTCTTATTGGGTAGCAAATCTCCCTACCAAAAATTATAAATAAAGGTCCATTTTTTCGGATAGCCCCCATATAAGATTACCCCCAATTTTCGGTATTTTGGGGGTTTTGATAGCATTTTTCGACCGAATTTGTACTTTGTGTTCTCATTGGGTAGCAAATCTCCCTACCAAAAATTAAAAATAAATGTCCATTTTTTCGGATAGCCCCCATATAAGGGTACCCCCAATTTTCGGTATTTTCGGGTTCTTGGGCTTGTTTTATAACTGAATTCTCTGAAATTTTGTACATTGGGTTCTTATTGGGTACCAAATTACTCCACTAAAAATTATAAATATAGGTCTAGTTTTTCTGGTAGTCCCCATATAACGGTACCCCAAATTTTTGGTATTTTGGGGGTTCTGATCGTATTTTTCAACCAAATTGACTGTAATTTAGTACGTCGAGTTCTTATTAGGTAGCACATCTCTACACTCTACACCTGGGGGCTACCAGAAAAAATTGACCAATATTTATGGTCAATTTTTTCTGGTAGCCCCCAGGTTTTGAGGTTCTTGAACCAATTTTTTTTCTGGCACAGGATATTATGTTTTTGTGCATATGTTTGTAACAGGCAGAAGGAAACGAGACTGACACATACGACTTCTGTTAGGATTCATTTGTTGAATATACTCAAAGTGGTGAAGGGTATCATATAGTCGGCCCCGTCCGACTTTACTACTTTCCTTACTGGTTATTTTAATTTATTTTAAAGAATATATTTTTGAAAACCTGTAAGACGTAGGTTAATAAAGAATACATTTTGGAAACCACCTTAAAGCGTAGATTTTTAAAGAATATATTTTTTAAGTGTAGTTTTTTAAACAATATATTTTTAAGCGTAGTTTTTAAAGAATATATTTTTGGAAGTTTGGAAGTTTTGGTAATTATCGGTTAATATTATGGGGATTACATGGACAAAAACTTTATTTTTGTCTGGTTTTCCGGTCGCTCTAGAGGCCACAATTATGACCCCAACATCTCGAAATTTTACACAGATGGAATAAGCATGACTGTCTTGATTAAGATCGATCAATACTTAGCGAGTCAAATGGAACCAGACTTTTGTGTGAAAAATAACAAAATTTCTATTTTATGACGTATATATTTACTCCTGAGCCCCGAGAAGTTCATAATACATCCAAGCGGAATGGTTGACCTTTAAAGTGATACCAATTTTATTGCCGTATGTACTCAGATGTGGGATTTATACTAAGATTATTACAGGTATCTACATATTTTGATTTGGTTGTAATTAACATTACCACACTAGAACGCGCGCTATGAAATTTTACATGAAGTTCCGGGAATGGTCAAGGACAATAACTACAAATTTCGGTGATGATCAGATGATAATTAGAGGATGGAATGGACCAAAGTTTTTTTTGCATGGTTTTCTAGTCGGTCTAGAGGTCATTGTAAGCCGAATATCACTAATTTTACACGGAGAAAGGCTAATTTATTGGCTAATTTATTTCGGGTCAAATTAATATTTTTCAATGACTACCATAGCCATAAATTTAAAAATCATCGCCAAATTAAACATTAATGAGAATTTTTAAAGAATACATTTTCTTGCGTAGATTTATAATAATAATTTTTTCAAGTACCAACATTTCCATAACAAACACAATTAAGTGTTGCTTGGACCCTTCTGACATTTCGATTAGAAAATTTGACGTACCGTGAGCATTTGTTTCCCAGTATACATTCGATATTGCATAAACAATGGCCGCAATATGTTTGTTCCCTTTGTATCTGAAAAAATTTGACAACCCTCTAAAATCTTGGCTCGTTTCGATTGGTGTAAACAATATTTAAAAAAAAAATCGATCGAGGTGATCGAGATGCACACCATGTTTGTTCGACACAACAGGTCTTGTGACCGTGTTCCGCTTGAACAATATAGGACGGTTCATTCTGCCTCAATTCTCCGGAAAAATTCGAAAACCCACAGGGTAATGCCATGACATGACGCCAAATCGGATCAAACTAGCACTGAATTATTTTTATTCTTGATCATCAAGAAAAAAATGTATGGTCATTCGCCATATGATGTCTTTGGAGAGTTTTTAGAGCCATCTGCCACAATTGCACTGAACGAATTAAAAAGTATACATAATCTATATCGCCTATTAAAAAATTTGTTATTGTACCTGTTTACCTATAACTATAAATATTGATCCACTTTTTTTGTTAAGCCCTCATTTAACTACTTTTTATTCCCAAATTTGGACACCTCTTTTATACCCTTCACCACTCTGTGGTACAGGGTATTATGTCTTTGTGCATATGTTTGTAACAGGCAAAAGGAAACAAGATAGACACATGGTTCCTTTTGAGAATATGCATAGAATCACTTTTTGAGTCGATTTATGCATGTCCGTCCGTCCGTCTGTCTGTCGATGTTAAATTGTAAACAAAGTACAGGTTGCATTGAATTTGGGAAAATCGGTTCAGATTTAGATATAGCTCCCATATATATTTTCGTCTTATTTTAGGTAAATAGTGCACCAAAGTCCCTTTATATGCTTCGATTTGCACAAAATTTGCCTTAGCGTACTAAATTGAGTCTAGAATGATGAGTGGTGAGTTTTGGGAAAATCGGTCGAGATTTCGATATAGCTCCCATATATATGTTCGTCCGATTTTATGTAAATGATTCACCAACGTCCCTATATATCCTTCGAATTGCACGAAATTTGGCACAGCGTACTGAATTAAGTCTAAGGCGATGTATG